TACACCTAGTTCCTCCATTCAGGCTTGTACAGTCCATTTTTAAAAAATCCCCAGAATTTCTCTGACGCCAGTAGTCCGCTCCCCGCCCCCTCCAAGAAGACGGTCAGTATTACTGGAAAACCCAGACAGTATAATCTCCTCTCCTCTCCCCAGCCCCATTGCCTTAGTACAACACCTGTGTTTATGCAATCATATTAAGAATACCAGACATGCCTCTGGTCTGAATGGGCTGTATTCATCCTGTTAGCCTCTGCAGCAGCTCTGGTGGGGCGCTGGCACCGTCTAGTAGTTAGTTAATGCTCTTCCTGTGTACTCCTGAGGGGCTGCGAATGTCAGCAGCTGGTTGGACAGCTACTACATCATCAAGGGCTGCGTCCCAAATGGCACCCTATTCTCTATGTAGTGCACTACTTCTGACCAGGGCCCATCCAAAGTAGTGCGCTAAATAGAGAATGGAGCCATTTGGGACGTAGCCTAGAACTGCTGTGCCCTGCAAGGAGCTGAGCTGAGCCCTTGGCAGATGTGGGTTAATATTGTAACCCACACCTGTAACATCTGTGCTGCTTCCCAGCACTGCGGAAGGAAGCTGGTTACTAGAGAGCTCCTGTATGTACCGTAGGTCCACATGCTGGGTTATTGTCTTGGTAGGCCTGTTTGGTTGCATTCATGGTGTTGGTGTTATTGGGTGATACTGGCAGAGATGGTATATCTATTTTGTTGTGGAAGGTAATGCACAATTAACATGTTCCTCAAACTGCTTCTCAAATCAAATGTACCTCCTAACAACTAATATAACTCCTGGGTTGTGTTCCTGTGATGTAACATCTTCATGAACCTCTGTCAACTTGTTAAAAATGTGTTTGTCCTGCTTGACAGTCTCAGATGTCTGATTTAACTGGATAATTGAACCCCCCATCACTATTAGCTTTGATCGCTAATAGTGATAGAAATGCAAAGGTTATAATAACCCACTGATTTGACAGTTGCAGTAAGTTCCTTTTCAAGATTTCTGATATTTTTATTTGTGTTGTGGGGAGAAATGTCTGCAACCTTCTGGACTGGAGACTGTTTTCCAGGTTGAGAGTATAGTACTGATGCTATCTGGACAGTGTTGCTGGTAGCGCTGGATGTAATTTAATGTGTGAATGTAAGCAGCACGGAATGTCCTGTTTTCCTCTAGCTGTCTGACCGGGGTATGCTGAGAAACGACACAGCCTTCAGGGCATGGAGGAGGACTTTCAAAGGAAATCCTATGTCCATATTGAGATTCCATTCATATCAGGTAGTCATCCTAGATCATATCAGGTAGTCATCCTAGATCATATCAGGTAGTCATCCTAGATCATATCAGGTAGTCATCCTAGATCTGCCTGGAATGTGTATAAATAAATAGCAAGGCTCCATAAGTCCTGTGGTATTAGCCATATCTTGGCAGGTTCTCTCTTCCCATCATTACAGCTGACAACTATACCTGTGGAGGAGGGTGATGTGATTAGCTGACACGTCCCCAGTATTTGTTGCTGTGATAGCCACTAACGACAATACCTTAATGATTCTAACCTTTAGATTCTAACCTTTTACTAAAGGTCTCGCATACGGAGAAGGGACATGTTTTGTTGATGTGAAATGTTTTCCATCAAGATGTCTTTTGTGCCAGAATTAACAGGCTCTCATTATTTGAACACTTATTTTAGCACACACAATGTTCCGTGAGCCAGGAGCAAGAGGCCAGTGACCGTGTAGTGTGGCTGGGCTGGCTGGAAGGAGCTAGCTAGTGAGCAGAGGGAGTATTTCCTTTTCAGTTGTAGGTTTGGCACAGCCTGAAAGCTCAGTCCTGAGCTCCTCGGCTCCCTGCACAATACCTCACTTGTGCTGCTACTTAGACCCAGGAATGTGAGGCTCACCTTCATATGTCTGACAGCAGTTTGTTTTGGAATGAGAGATATTATTCACCACCACATCGTACTGCTGCAAACACCGTTCTCTCATCGCCTCTTCTCTTCTATCTCTCCCTCTCACTGAAGAGTTAAGAGGCAGACCCATATGATGCTGTGTTGAAACCCCCATAAACCACTGCTTTATATAGCAGTTAGGCCTATTCATAAGAAGGTTGTAGGGCTTGTGAAAGTAATTGATCCTCACCTCTAGAACAGTGTATTTTGTCAAGGCATATATGCTACATGTGGTCTAGGTGCAAAAATGTTGTTCAGAGACTAATCATAGAGAAATGGCATCCTTTTGTTTGTGTGTGTACACATAGGCAATATGTACATACATTAGGACTATCTGAACAAATAGGCCTCTGGAAAACAGCCCCTGACACAATCTTACCCTATTCTTAGATACATCCTAACCTAACACTACTATCTAATAAGAATCTGGAACGCAGGAAGCAAGGGGCTTTCAGTAGCCAATCTTACTCTGTACCGTACCAGGACCTGGGTCCTGGACTAATCTTAACCAACAAAGGCCATTGGAGGAAATGGTCAGGGCTGCTTAATGTTTCAGTCTCTATTGACGTTGTACTTCATGACGCACTGGCTAGGAATTCAGACTACTACTGTATGGTCACCGGCTGACCCTGAGAGTCTCCATCGTTCTCACAATGTTCTCTCTATAGGTTATCTCTATTAGATGTTTGGGGTCAACTTGACTTAATTAGTCATAACACTTAGCTGATTAGCCTCTGAAGCAGTCAAGCAGACCTGGGTCAAATACTTTTAAATACCGGGAAGGGTTTTCAGGGCCGGCAAATGGAAGTAGTGTACAGTAGGTATCAGTCTCTATACTAGTGACAGATCACAGTCATACTCTTCATACCATAGTGTACAGTAGGTATCAGTCATACTCTTCATAGTGACATAGTGGTCAGATATCATCACTAGCCTTCATACCAAATGTACATACCGTGTCATCTCATTTTTCTTATACATATGACATAGGTATCAGCCCTTTCAATAACTCTTAACCTAGTGTGCAAAGTATCAGTCTACCTCATACTAGTTCAAAGTATCAGCACTCTTGCATGCCAAGTGTACAGAGGTACAGCAACTCCTCTAGTGTAGCAATGTATCTTCTAGATTAGTCACCATGAGCGTATACATCTCTTTACATAGTTCAAGGTCGTTACTTTATCATGATTCTTCCTCTCCTTATTGACCATGTACTGCGTTCTCTATATCATGTTTCATAGTCAAGGCCACTGTGGTTGAACGTTTGTACAGACACGGAAGCCCTATTCAAATGGCCACAAAGATAGTTTGGGTTGTACAGAACCGAAGTGGTTACCCTAAGGAAAGTATTTCGGCTTGAAAGCCTTAATTGCTTTGTAAGTTGGCTCTGTGATTGAAGCGTCTCAAAATGACTAAAAACATGGGTACCCTATTACACGTTTTAAAGACTTTGTGAAAGACCACTGGAGCACAACACAATGGCACACCAAATATGTGTTTTTGTACAGACGACAATTACATCCTAAAGGAAATGTTAGTCAGAGGTTGATGAGTTTTTGTGGCTTTGAACTGTTTCCCTCAGTGATCCCAGTCGGAGGCCAAAAGGAAAGCTCTATATCTAGCTGGGTATACCCTATTTTCAGCCAGCGCCATTGTGCTCTTTGTAGCCTCTTTCTCCTTCAGTGAGTCTGAAATGACATGTCCTCTTATTGTGTACTAGGCTCTGCTTCCTTTGAAGCACACGTCCTTCCTCTTTATTACAGCATCCTTGTCTGGCACTCTTCTTTTTCTCTCCTTCACCAACAAAGACCTGAAAATTGAACCAGACTCCTTAGTGTCAACATTTATCAGCTGAGCAAAAAGGCAGACAAGGTGCGCACGCACACACACGCACACACACACACACTGAGGGTGCATCCTTAGTACCTTTGTCAAACATATTGCTTTTGTGGGGATTTTGGGAAGCACAATTGTGTGGAAACATCACACGTCTTGGTGAGCATCAGTGGCTGTGACTGGTGGTTTCCATGAGCCCTACTAGGCTACTGTGGTGGGGCAGAGATTTAAAGGAATGCAGGGGGTTGGGAGGGATGACTAGAAGCACCCAGGGTTCAGAGAGTCAGACAAGACACTGCTCCATCTGCTCTGAGAGCAGCCTCCTGCCCTGAAAAGTAGTTTCTGTTAATTAATTAATTAATCCATCCATTCACTCTCTCACACTCGCACAACAACAACAAGTTGCCTTGGGATTGGATGAGCCAGTCAGACAATGACACCTTCCTGTTTAGCCTGCTCCCCACATGCAGAGGGATTACAGGAAGGCTCATACATTGTCTTTGGGTTCCACTTCAGAAAATGGGGAGATTTGATCCAGGCCTTCATAGCTTCTAAGTGGTATTTCAGGTAATGGGGAGGCTCATTGTGAGACGCCTGCTTCTGTTCAGTTTGTTTCCCAGGGAACTGTGATAAGAAAAAGTTGTATTTCTTCAAAAATATTTGTCTTTATTTTGTTCTTCCAAAACATTTAAGAGCTCTTGATTTTCTTAGAATGGTTCTTTCTATATATATTTTTGCTCTTGCGCTTCTAATGCCTGTATAAAATAAACAGCATGGATATCCTCCACGGTGAAAGGTGTTTGATTCATGCCCTTAAGATTATACAATCTACACTGGGAATAGTTTGTGTCATGGGGTCAGTTAGAGTATTATTATTATTATTATTATTATTATGGATCCTGGATGCTGATCAAACTGTGGTATATCAGACAATATATCATGGGTATGACGCAAACACACTTGTTTACTGTTCTATTTATGTTTAACTACTTTATAATAGCAAAAAGGCATCTTGGGGGTTTGTGGTATATGGCCAATATGCTAAGGGCTGTATCCAGGCTGTACTCTGCATTGCGTTGTGCATAGCTGTGGTCTATTGGACATATACCACACCCCCTTCGTGCCTTATTGTCTAAATAGCATGTGGGTACCAGTAGAATTCAATTTCTATGGTGGAGACACTTTCATTAATCTCTTGCTCTCCATTGACAGATATTCATCTCGGCGCAGTCGGATTACCTGTACCTGGATGACCAGTCAGGAGACTCCGTAGATGACGACGGTTACAACTCTGGATCAGGGTCCGGTGATATGAGTAAGCAATGGTTACATTCTTATAAAATATTTCACCGTTACTTCCTAATGTAATTAACATAGCAACCTGATAATGCCATTTAAGAGTTATAGCTGTATGTAAAGCTCTAATTGTACTGGCTCTACGAAGGTCATAGACGGTGCACAGGAACCTTTGACTTTGGTTAGACTACTAGGGCACACTGGTACCGCAGGATCACAATGGACCTACGGAGGCGGTGAAAGCACAGATGTTTCACATGCGGCCAAGTGCAGTCATATGTCATATAGAGAGACGCCTTCTATAATGAATGAGTCATTATTTCATATACCCTAACCTGAACAGTGATACTGTACCGTAGACTGTATAATGTACTGTACGATAACACTCAAACAGATCTGGCTTCCAGTCTATTTCTGGGTCTGTATGGCAGGGGTTGCGTGATTATTGGTAAACTCTTTATGAATGAAAAGTGCCTCTATCATTAGTATTGAATCCATTAGCACTGGCATTATTGTGAATTGTTGTTAGTTTATCATGTTACCCCTGCCTGCAAACCAAATTTCCTTCTGGAGTCGATACATTTGGATTATTTTCCTCCTCAGCTATCGTTGAGGTCACTGAGCCAGTGGTCAAAGTGAAAACGGTGTTCGCTGCTCCTGAAGCAGAGCCAACCCAGGACTCTCTACCAGACCCTTCAACCACCGTGGAGGAGATGTTTACATTCACTGACCAGAGCACAGAAATAGCTGAGACAGAGACAGAGGTATGCCTCTCTTTATAACTGACTTTAGTGTGGTGGTTTCATTTTACCTCATCCTTACCTCGCACCCCTGACATGGCAAGGACTTAATAGTATCCCTGTGATTTTATAGTTGTTGTGAAAATTCTAAATCTGTCTCTCTCTCTCTCCCTCTGTCTGTGTGTGTCAGACCCAGGTCCCTGAACAGTCTCTGGACGTGACAGAGGAGACTGTTATCAGCAGTGAAGCTCCTCCCAGCACCACCAGTGCTTCCAGGTTGCTGTATGAGGCAGACACACCTTACGATGTGCAATCCGAAAACCTTTTCCAGAGGACGGAGGTGCTAGCAGGTATGTTTTATTTTTTTTATCCTTTATTTATTCAGGAGATCGTGTTGACATTAGCATATCTCTTTTTCAAATGAGACCTGAGCATAATGAAAGCAATAAAATATCATGAGACAACATGTATAAGTTAAACATCACACAAAAAAGCGATCCACAATACGATAATGATTAATCAAAACAGTAATCTGTAATCTCAGTTCCAATTGAAGAGGTCATTTTTCAATACAGCCCACTATCAGAGATTGGATCTGAAACATGGCCTCTGTTTGAAATATGGGTAACTCTAGACTTTGCTTTCAGAATTAATAAAAACAGACTCATAGCCTTGGAGTTTGATAGCAGAGGGAAGGAGACTGAGTCAATCAACCAACAACACTTTGGGATTGTTTTACAATGAAAAGCACGTTATGAATTAAATGTATAATTGTGACTCCTCCTGAGTCGGCTCCGTCTCATATTTGATTAGTCCATTGATCTTAGCTGCAGTCTACTGCATCAAGCTATCAGGGTGCCGTTTCCCATTAATTTCTCAACGTGAGTTGTTGCCAAACATTTGATACAAAAGGCACAAAGCAATCATAGTTCCCTCTTAATTATTCATAAAAGTTAACAGAAGGCAATGGGGTTACATTTACTTTACATTTTAGTCATTTAGCAGACGCTCTTATCCAGCGTGACTTACAATTAGTGCATTCATCTTAATATAGCTAGGTGAGAAAACACATCACAAACGTATCTTTAATGGGGTTGGGGTAATTACCTTGCCCCACACACAATCTTTTAAAGGTGTATCATATCTGACATTTAGACTGTTATTAACACTTTACTTTCTAGCAAGGTTCCACTGTTGTGTTGTCAACGCCAATCACTTGTATTGCTAATGTATTGAATTATTGTGATTGATAAGCATCTTCTGACGTGGTTCTTCTCCCCCCCCCTCCACGGGTCCAGCGGTGATAGCCGGCGGGGTTATAGGTTTGCTGTTCGCCGTCTTCCTCATCCTCCTCCTGGTCTACAGAATGAGGAAGAAGGACGAGGGGAGCTACGTCCTCGGAGAACGCAAGGCCCCTAGCTCAGCCTATCAGAAAGCCCCCACCAAGGAGTTCTATGCCTGAAGCACAACCACCCTGTCACTATGAAGAGAAACCGAACAACAGAAAGACTGTGTCCCAAATGGCACCCTATTCACTCTATAGTGTACTTACTACTTTTGACCAGGATCTGTGCACCATATAGGGAATAGGGTGCCATTTGGGACACATTGAAAACATTTACATTTTAGTCATTTAGCAGATGGTCTTATCCAGAGCGACTTACAGTTAGTGAGTGCATACATTTTCATACTGGCCCCCGTGGGAAACGAACCCACAACCCTGGCGTTGCAAGCGCCATGCTCTACCAACTGAGTTACAGGGGACTATACGTACAGCAGGGTCCTCCTCGCATGCTGTTGGTTGAAATGATATTGAATGAGGAAGTGTTTCAAGGAGCTTTTTCATTAAGCAAATATATATATATAATACTTTTTTTTCCCTAAATGATGCCAAACAGGGCTATTGTAAACATTTCATGTTTTGGATCATTAGAACTGTTGGAGAATTTATTTGTAATGTGAGAACGTGAAATATATTCATATGATTGTCATGGACTACTTTCTACCTGTAGCGGTACATATTTGTAAGGAAGGAAAAACAACTTTTTTAAAGGTCACTGAAATAAAAATACAGAGACAACAGAATATAATTCTCCTATCTATTCTATTTTTGATTAATTTTCATAGCATGTCAAGTGTTTTTTCATTAACTTATGTTTTTCATGTTGAGGTTATGTAATGTTTCTAGTCTCATAAAGCAATCTGGTTTAATTTAAAAAATGTTATTTTTCTTGTCATTGTGTGAAATGAATTACAGGATTCCAAAACTACCCAATGTCATCTGGCCCAAGCAAAGCACATTCCTTTCTAGTAAAAAATTACTGATATAAAGCATTGTTTCCCAACTCCAGTCAAGTACGCCCAACAGTACACACTTTTGTTGTCGCCCCTGACAAACTTGCCTGATTCAACTTATTGAGGGCCTGATGATTAGTTGACAAGTTCAATCAGGTGAGTTTGTCCGGGGCTACAACAAAAATGTGTGCTGTTGGAGGTACTTGAGTTGGGAAACACTGATTTTGAAATGGTACTCTTTGGGGCAGGGGTGTCAAACTCAATCATGGAGGGCCTAGTGTCTGGGTTTTGGTTTTTTTCCTTTCAATTAAGACCTAGACAACCAGGTGAGGGGAGTTCTTTACTAATTAGTGAACTTAATTAATCAAGTACAAGGGAGGAGCGAAAACCCGCAGACACTCGGCGCTCCGTGGAATGAGTTTGACACGTGCTTTGAGGAGTGGATTATATCACAGGAGGTTGGTCGCACCTTAATTGGGATAATGACAGGAGTTGAATCAGTGGAGCGGTATCAAACGCATGGTTTCCAGGTGTTTGATGCCATTCCATTTGCTCCGTTCCGGCCATTATTATGAGCCGTTCTCCCCTCAGCGGCCTCCACTGCTATATGTACTCTGTGTTCCAGTTTTTGTTACCCAAAATATAGAGGAACCTTTTCAGTAGATTTCACTACTAGGTCGCTGAATTTTCTCCTCAGATCACAATGGTATGTTAGACTTGGGTGTTTATAAACAAACCTGCAACTATTCTGACCAATTTATGATATAAAAGCTGATTTTCGTTTATATAATCTGCAGCTTTTAAATTATGACTTGCTAGATATGGGGAACTAATGCAAATGAACAGTCACATCTGCGCTCAACTCTTTTCAGTTGACTTTGTAATGACTTGAGTAGTACAGTGATTTACTATAGCCACAGCTGGGACACCGGACGCATCTGATATATCTGTTTAAACTTAGATTTTCAGTCAATCAGATTTGAAAGCCCAGGGTGCGTTCCCAAATGGCACCTTAGTCCCTATATAGTGCATTACTTTTGACCAGAGCCGTAAGAGCCCTGATCAAAAGCAGTGCACTAAATAGGGAATAGGGTGTCATTTGGGACGTAGTCCCAGTGAACAGGACATGGTGTACCTTATTACTTCTCTGTTCCCTCTCTAAGGAATTATGAATGTCTACTATAGAACAGAACGGTCCTCCTCCCTAAAAAAAGAACCTCTGATCACTGGGTTGGTGTATTTTTCTCATGGTATGTAATGAATAAAGGTACTAACTGTAAGACTTTCCTTGGACTTGGAACAGTATTTTTGCCATTATGACATGTAACACAGTCTCATTTACTTTGTTACCTTTAGTCCTGACTATTTTAAAGGTAGACTCAGCGATATGATGCAGATGCATAAAGTAAAACCGCATAGTGGGTCAATTTCCGCAACAACTAGGAGCGTGGGCGCGCGAGGCTAAACTTCTCCGCTGTTTTTGGTCACCTGGCTACCACATTGTAAGAGCGTGCGGTGACGCGAACCAATGCACATGCGCAAATACTGTGTGCGTGACTGTGTGAGCAAAGTCTTGCATCTTGCTCATTGAAATATCTGCGGTGCTGCTCGTACAACAATTTCGCTGACTCTACCTTTAAGGCAATGGTGTATCTGTAATGTTAATGTACTATAATTTATACGTATTAATTGATATAGAAGACACTAGAAGTAATATGTTAGTTCAAGTATCTTAATGTATATTCACAGATGTTTTAAGCCTTTTTGAAGTGCCTACCATTCTGAAAGTGTTTTTTTACTGTTAGGGACAAAGGATATATTTTCAGTGGCATCATGAAGTAGTAGTCACGATCATAAGCGCAGGAGACAGATGGCAACTTAGTGTTACAAAAGCAGTGTTGTATGTTATCATGGGAGACACTACTGAATAAAAAATTTGTCTTAATATGAAATAGTGATCACATGTGGTTTCTTTTCTCTAGGTTGATTGTATTTCTGATAAGACTCCAACATATTCTTTGGAATGTTGACACACACTGTTTGTTACAAAGTAAATGTAAGAATATAACTTGCAGCACAAATACCATATCTGTGGTATCTCAGATTTCAATGTGCAAGCTGAAATAAAATGTAAAATAAAAAGTAGCTTTTGTTAGTTTGCGATCTCTGATCAAAACACATACTAAACAAACATGCTGCTGTGAGCCAAATGGCTAGAGTAAAGCCAAATGTCCGCAGTAAACATCAAGAGTAGTAATTAGTTAGAGCAGACTGCATTATTTTTTTAAAATCAGAATTTGGTAAAGAAACAAAAACAAAACGGGATGTTTTGTCAATGAAAGTGAAAACGCATGACTGTCCCTACTGCGTTGCCGTAGTCATTCAAATATCACGGAAGTAGTTTTGAAATTGAAAAGAAATAGCTAGTTGGCGAGAAGGAATTAAATATATGTTGTGAATTATTCCATCTGTCAAGACGGTCAGCAATTGACCAACTATCTGCAGAGGAAGGTTTGTTCTTTGTTTTAACGTCCTAATTTAAAAGTCCTTTCATGTTTCGCTAGTTGGGAATCACAACGACTGACAATTATATTTCGCTAGATATATGGATGCTTGTGGCTTGCTTGCTTGTTGTCTAACTGCATTTCACTGCTTCAATTAGCAGACTAACTCTATGACTTCTATGGCCCGACTGGAGCTCCGACGTCACATTTGTTTTAATAAAAAACCCGAATGATTTCAGCACCCAAAGAATAGCCTGCAATTACACAGAGCAATGTCTCTGAAATAAGTAGTTTTTGATAAAAATGTAAATTACGTCGGAGCTCAACTCCATCGTAAATCGTGGAGTTTAATTTAATCAGCTATACCTCAATAGGTTTCTGTTGCCGATAATGAAGTAAACACTGGCACGTGTAGCGTGCTGTCATATTTTAAGCAAGTTAGGGTCATGTAGTGTAGTCTGACCATTAGGGCAAATAGCCTGTTCTCACGAGGAAAATATTTGTAAATAACCTTAATATGTTCTTGTCTGCCTCCAGATGCAGGACCGGCATATAAAACAATGTGGCCTTTTCTCACTGACTCTTTTGGCCACATTTCTCCATTGTAGCTGTTTGCAACGCAGTACTGGTGGAAAGCCATTTCCAGAGACCGCTAAAGAAATTGCCAGCTATGCAAAGGTAGCCCAGAGCATCATAGACTTGGCTGTGTATGGCAAAGCCCAGAACCGCTCCTATGAGAGACTGGCAGACTTCACAGATACAATAGGGAACCGTGTCAGTGGCTCTAAGAACCTGGACCTGGCTATCAAGTATATGTTCAACGCCCTGAGGAAGGATGGGCTGGAGAACGTACATCTAGAACCAGTGAAGATTCCACACTGGGTCAGGGGAGAGGAGAGAGCTGTGATGCTGCAGCCCCGGAACCACACCATGGCCATCCTAGGACTGGGGAGCAGTGTGGCTACACCCAAAGGAGGTAGGCCTATGGGCAATTCCATGGTAACGAAATTACACTGAGACTCGATTTTTCACAAAAAAATGTATACCAAACAAAAACCATTGATTTCAAAGTTTAACAAACTCTATGCACAAGGACTACTTTAACAATTTCCACAGAACATTTAACAAAAATACATTTACAGGAAGAACTGTGCAGATACAAAGTTTGGTAACAGAATAAAACTGAGGATGATTTTACTGTAATTCTGTTACCAAACTTTGCATCTGCACAGTTTTTCCAGTAATTTTTTGTTTTTTACAGTGTAAATCGTTCAAAGTAGGCATTGTGCATAGAGTTGTATAGTTTGTTAAACTTTGAAATCAATGTTTGTTGTTCTCAGCGTAATTCAGTTACCATGGAATTGCCCGTATGTTCTGTAGTGATGAGTTGTATCACTCAAGCCTAGGCAATGCTAATGGTATTGCCACTATTTGCTAGGCCCCAACTCAAGCCAAGGTGTAGATATTTAGATTAGTCTTCGATTGGTGCACTGATGTATGATCATGCATGTCATATTTTTTTTGCTTTCGGTCTCCTCTTCGGTTCAGGCATTGAAGCAGAGGTGCTGGTGGTGGAGTCTTTTGAAGAGCTGAAGAAAAGGCAGAAGGAAGCCAGTGGGAAGATCGTGGTGTATAACCAGCCCTTTGTCAGCTATGAGGAGACTGTGCAGTACAGGGAGTCTGGGGCATCCAAGGCAGCTAAAGTAGGAGCTGTGGCTACTCTCATCCGGTCCGTCACACCCTTCTCCATCAACAGGTACTGGATGGGTCACAATGATCCAATGTATCCCTTCCTTTATAATGCCAATTAGTTGAATGCTTGGCTATGGCTGGAACTGCATGTTGCCATCTCTCTTCCTGTCTAGTCTGACTGCATGTTGCCGTCTCTCTTCCTGTCTAGTCTGACTGCATGTTGCCGTCTCTCTTCCTGTCTAGTCTGACTGCATGTTGCCATCTCTCTTCCTGTCTAGCCTGACTGCATGTTGCCATCTCTCTTCCTGTCTAGTCTGACTGCATGTTGCCATCTCTCTTCCTGTCTAGTCTGACTGCATGTTGCTATCTCTCTTCCTGTCTAGTCTGACTGCATGTTGCCGTCTTTCTTCCTGTCTAGTCTGACTGCATGTTGCCATCTCTCTTCCTGTCTAGTCTGACTGCATGTTGCCGTCTCTCTTCCTGTCTAGTCTGACTGCATGTTGCCATCTCTCTTCCTGTCTAGTCTGACTGCATGTTGCCATCTCTCTTCCTGTCTAGTCTGACTGCATGTTGCCATCTCTCTTCCTGTCTAGTCTGACTGCATGTTGCTATCTCTCTTCCTGTCTAGTCTGACTGCATGTTGCCGTCTTTCTTCCTGTCTAGTCTGACTGCATGTTGCCATCTCTCTTCCTGTCTAGTCTGACTGCATGTTGCTATCTCTCTTCCTGTCTAGTCTGACTGCATGTTGCCGTCTTTCTTCCTGTCTAGTCTGACTGCATGTTGCCGTCTCTCTTCCTGTCTAGTCTGACTGCATGTTGCCGTCTCTCTTCCTGTCTAGTCTGACTGCATGTTGCCGTCTCTCTTCCTGTCTAGTCTGACTGCATGTTGCCGTCTCTCTTCCTGTCTAGTCTGACTGCATGTTGCCGTCTCTCTTCCTGTCTAGTCTGACTGCATGTTGCCGTCTCTCTTCCTGTCTAGTCTGACTGCATGTTGCCATCTCTCTTCCTGTCTAGTCTGACTGCATGTTGCTATCTCTCTTCCTGTCTAGTCTGACTGCATGTTGCCGTCTTTCTTCCTGTCTAGTCTGACTGCATGTTGCCATCTCTCTTCCTGTCTAGTCTGACTGCATGTTGCCATCTCTCTTCCTGTCTAGTCTGACTGCATGTTGCCGTCTCTCTTCCTGTCTGACTGCATGTTGCCATCTCTCTTCCTGTCTAGTCTGACTGCATGTTGCCATCTCTCTTCCTGTCTAGTCTGACTGCATGTTGCCATCTCTCTTCCTGTCTAGTCTGACTGCATGTTGCCATCTCTCTTCCTGTCTAGTCTGACTGCATGTTGCCATCTCTCTTCCTGTCTAGTCTGACTGCATGTTGCCGTCTCTCTTCCTGTCTAGTCTGACTGCATGTTGCCGTCTATCTTCCTGTCTAGTCTGACTGCATGTTGCCGTCTCTCTTCCTGTCTAGTCTGACTGCATGTTGCCATCTCTCTTCCTGTCTAGTCTGACTGCATGTTGCCGTCTCTCTTCCTGTCTAGTCTGACTGCATGTTGCCGTCTCTCTTCCTGTCTAGTCTGACTGCATGTCATTTTCCCCTCACATTTCTAGCTATTGATATATTCCATATAGTGTTGTATTCCTCTAGTACACCTTTTTATATTGTTTTATATTGACTTTTTGAAAGTGTGTTATCGTAAGTCATATTTATGGGAATCCGAAAGTAGTACCGTGCCCTATTTCTGCTGATAATTTCTAACATGGGTCTCTCTGTGTTGCAGTCCTCACACAGGCTGGCAGGACTACGAGGAGGGAGTGCAGAAGATCCCTACCGCCTGTATCACAGTGGAAGACGCCATGATGATGGCCAGGATGGCTAAGCGAGGACAGAGGATCGTGGTCCGACTCACCATGAACGCCCAGACCTTCCCTGACGCTGACTCCTTCAACACTGTGTCTGAGATCATTGGCAGCGAGCACCCAGAACAGGTAAGCTATGAGAAACGTTCCATTGGGTCTAAACCATTTGTATAAATGGCTATCGTATTCTTATACGAATGTTAATTTGATCTGTGAAACGTTACAGGGGACCCCCCCCCCCCCCCCCCCCAAATACATAATAATAATATGCACTTGTCTTCCTACTAGCACTGAGTTTGCTGATGACTACTTTGTTGAGGGAAAATGTACTTGCTACAATTGTGATGTGTTGTCTCACCAAGCTTTCTTAAAATGAATTAGAGCTGGGCGATAAGGACAAACATCCATATCGTGATAAATTGCCTGAATTGATGCGATAACAATAAATAGAATGATAGGTTTATAACATTAATGGGCACCACAGTTTATACCATTAATGGGCACCACAGTTTATAACATGGTTGTAGCCATCAATTGTCCCATTAAGAATCACCCATATTAGCAAACATTTCATTTCAAACTTCACATTTCTCTAGAATAGGCTACGTATCGTAATGAACGATATCAGCAAAATGCCTTGGGTAAGTGGTCTGTATGGTCGGTATCGGTCATTTTCGTTTTATCGTCCCAGCTCTAAGATGAATACACTAATGTAAGTCGCTCTGAATAAGAGCGTCTGCTAAATGACTAAAAATGTAAACATTTTCAAATGTACTTAAAGGGCCTCCCGAGTGGCGTAGCGGTCTAAGGCACTGCATCGCAGTGCTTGAGGCGTCACTACAGGCCCGGGTTCGATCCCAGGCTGTGTCACAAACGGCCGTGACCAGGAGTCCCAAAGGGCGGCGCACAATTGGCCCAGCGTCGTCCTGGTTAGGTGAGGGTTTGGCCGGGGGGGCTTTACTTGGCTCATCGCGCTCTAGCAACTCCTTGTGGCGGGCCGTGCGCCTGCAGGCTAACTTCGGTCGTCAGTTGAACAGTGTTTCCTCCGACATATTGGTGCGGCTGGCTTCCGGGTTAAGCGGGCGGGTGTTAAGAAGCGCGGTTTGGCGGGTCATGTTTCGGAGGACGCATGACTCGACCTTCGTCTCTCCCAAGCCCGTTGGGGAGTTGCAGCGATGAGACAAGATCGAAATTGGGGGTAAAATACCAATTTTAAAAAAGGTACTAAAGCATGGGTCTACTTTTTGCATTCCAATCCTCTCCTATTTTGCCATTTGTCACGTTGAGATAATACAGAACTGTATGGGGTCTTGGTAAGACCGACGTTCCCCCTGTACGTCCAGTCCAACAAATCCGTAGACAAGGCATCACTTTCCACCAACAGATGCACTGAGGTATGACCATGACCAGGGTAGTCTGTCAGAGGTAGGGAGAGATCTGGAGACTAATTTCACATGGGTTTGACACATGCTCTGTGTGTGCTATAAGGGCAGCGTGAAGGCCTGAATCTCCTCTCCCCTGGGAGCCAATTAGAAGACAGGAACGGCACGGGGATGTCAATCATAGGAGGGTCATTCTGTAAGGTTCTGTCCAGTTACACAGCATTTGTCCAAGCACACTGTGAGCCGTGTCCATGGAGTTTCTCATTAGTCATGACCGGACACTTGTTGTGTCGCTAATGACAACTTATTCCCTATATAGTGCACTACCTTTGACCAGGGTCCATAGGGCTCTGGTCTAAAGAGGTGCACTGTGTAGGGAATGGGGTGCCATTTGGGCTCTTTGCAGAGATTTGCAGTTTCATTGTGACTCTGCTATAGCTAACGCTCCTCTGTCTATCTAAGCTTCTGATCTGTTAGCAAGAGGTCTATGAATTTGTTCCGGTAGGATGTTTGTTTGTTTGATTTGACAAGGAGATTCGTCACGTTCTCTGACAGTTTTGTAAGCATTCATCTATTCTGAAATGAGTACTAAACCTAAGGGGATCCCACATTGTATCTCATGCTCCTATTATTCAATCCCCTCAGCTCTACAGGAGTGACTAGAGAGTAGGGGATGTACTAGGGGTTGATTTAGGAGTTTCGCACTAGCAAGCATCCCTTATCACTTCTATGGCAGATCCAGCCCTCTGAGACTATTCAGTAGTCACTAGCATCCCTCAACACTTCTATGGCAGATCCAGCCCTCTGAGACTATTCTGTAGTCACTAACATCCCTCATCACTTCTATGGCAGATCCAGCCCTCTGAGACTATTCTGTAGTCACTAGCATCCCTCAACACTTCTATGGCAGATCCAGCCCTCTGAGACTATTCTGTAGTCACTAACATCCCTCATCACTTCTATGGCAGATCCAGCCCTCTGAGACTATTCTGTAGTCACTAGCATCCCTCAACACTTCTATGGCAGATCCAGCCCTCTGAGACTATTCTGTAGTCACTAACATCCCTCATCACTTCTATGGCAGATCCAGCCCTCTGAGACTATTCAGTAGTCACTAGCATCCCTCATCACTTCTATGGCAGATCCAGCCCTCTGAGACTATTCAGTAGTCACTAGCATCCCTCATCACTTCTATGGCAGATCCAGCCCTCTGAGACTATTCAGTAGTCACTAACATCCCTCATCACTTCTATGGCAGATCCAGCCCTCTGAGACTATTCTGTAGTCACTAGCATCCCTCAACACTTCTATGGCAGATCCAGCCCTCTGAGACTATTCAGTAGTCACTAGCATCCCTCAACACGTCTATGGCAGATCCAGCCCTCTGAGACTATTCTGTAGTGCCATGCCCTGTCAGTAATGCTTCTCTTCGGTGCTCTCCTCTGTTTGAGCTCGGTCCCAGATTGCGTAAGGAGGAAGGAACGTAGCTCTAGCTCTCTCTGCTGACTTAAGAGATTCCTACTTCTCTTTAGTCTGCCTTTTCTGTGATGTCATCTCTACAGAGGAAAAACACAACTGGGATCCCTAGGAAACACTGACACTATGGGAACACCATTCTGTGTAATAAACCTCACTTCCCATTGTTCTGAAATTTGACTAGGCCTAACACGTTTTCCAATAGAACACTTGGCTACATGGGAGAAACGGTATTGTCTGTGTACTCCGCTCTACTATAGGGCTTGTGCTGATGCGTCATTCTGTTCTGAAGAAGATATAATCTCCGTATCGAAGGTGACTCATTTAGCGACCGCAAAAACAGCTTTCACTTCTCTCTAGAAAATCCCTAAGCCAAGCATACAAGTACCACTTTAATTGATTGAAACATTGTGACAGTAATCCCAAAATGGTCCTCTGTAGCTCAGCTGGTAGAGCACGGCGCTTGTAACGCTAAGGTAGTGGGTTCGATCCCCGGGACCACCCATACACAAAAAAATAAATATGTATGCACGCATGACTGTAAGTCGCTTTGGATAAAAGCGTCTGCTAAATGGCATATTATTATTATTATTATTATTATTATTAAAATGAGTCACAGTGACAGTACACTGAATGTGGGTGTTTTAATGTATTTAGCTGCTGTGTGTCAGATGTCAATGATGCGTTAGCACAGCAGTGTGAGTGACTGGGTGTGTCCTGTCCTGACTCCGAGTCATCCAGTCATGGGGCAGGGAGGAGCACTCCAATCATGTGCTACTTGGTAATTGATGTCATGAACAAAATATTCTAAAGAAGAGACCTTTCTGTTCTCTTAAAACAGTTCAGAGTTCTGACCTACATTGCCTAATAAGGAAGTAGCCTTGCATGAGCCTTGGTTTTTGAGAGCCGTAACGGCTCATAGGAGCAGGAGCCTATCTCCTGTTTCTGTAGTGAGACAGCTTGGTGTACCAGTACACCTCCTGGACAGGACACTAGTCTATCTCCTGTTTCTGTAGTGAGGCAGCTTAATGTACCAGTATACCACCTGGACAGGACACTAGTCTATCTCCTGTTTCTGTAGTGTGAAGCAGCTTAATGTACCAGTATACCACCTGGACAGGACACTAGTCTATCTCCTGTTTCTGTAGTGTGAAGCAGCTTAATGTACCAGTACACCTCCTGGACAAGATGCTAGTCTATCGCAGGGCCTTACCCCCAATCTATCTCCTTAATGCTGAGTGCCAAGCAGAGATGCATTGGGTCCCAGTCTTTGATATGACTCAGTGGGGGATGGAACTCAGGGCGGACACTAACCACTGAGTGGGTAAAAAGAAATAGGACTTAACATTGACTTCTCAAGTCATTTTATGTAGTTTACATGGAAGCTTAGATGAGAGTTGTCAAGATGGAGCCCTCAAAATGTCTTATGTAGCGTCTCCTCTCCCGATGAAGAGGAATATAAATCAGTGTCTATGGTAGGGAGGGAGGGACACACTGTCCTCCAAAATATATTTGCTTTGGTTTGGGAGAACGTACCCATTCTGTCCTGTAGTGTAAGTTGCATAACATTTACATTTACGTCATTTAGCAGACGCTCTTATCCAGAGCGACTTACAAATAGGTGCATTCACCTTATAGCCAGTGGGATAACCACCTTACAATGTTTTTTTTTTTTTGGGGGGGGGGGGGGGGGGGGGGGGGGGGGGTGGAGTAAAGGGGGGGGGGGGGGGGGGGGTTAGAAGGAGATGCGATTCGCCACCTGGTTATCAGAAGGGGGAAAGGAGAAGATTAGTTGTGTGTCGTCAGCGTAGCAATGATAGGAGAGGCCATGTGAGGATATGACAGAGCCAAGTGACTTGGTGTATAGCGAGAATAGGAAAGGGCCTAGAACTGAGCCCTGGGGGACACCAGTGGTGAGAGCACGTGGTGCGGAGACAGCTTCTCGCCACGCCACTTGGTAGGAGCGACCGGTCAGGTAGGACGCAATCCAAGAGTGAGCCGCGCCGGAGATGCCCAGCTCGGAGAGGGTGGAGAGGAGGATCTGATGGTTCACAGTATCAAAGGCAGCAGACAGGTCTAGAAGGACAAGAGCAGAGGAGAGAGAGTTAGCTTTAGCAGTGCGGAGAGCCTCTGTGACACAGAGAAGAGCAGTCTCAGTTGAATGACCAGTCTTGAAACCTGACTGGTTTGGATCAAGAAGGTCATTCTGAGAGAGATAGCAAGAGAGTTGGCTAAAGACGGCACGCTCAATAGTTTTGGAGAGAAAATAAA